TATGTCAAGGTCAGTATTATCTACTCCGACCGGCAGTGGCTTTTCAGGGTCTTAGGCAGAGGTCTTTCTATTAACTGGAGTTGCTGGGGATTGACCTAAGACCACAGAGCCACAGCTGAACCCCTCAGTTTTTCTCCAAAAGTTTATTGCCCCCCAGATTGCAAACCCAGGCTTCTTCTGGATTTGAGTCTACACCTCTAGCACCACCCAAGCTGCCCACCTGTGTCTTTAGCTCTTCCACTGAAGCCTTGATCTGTGAGTGTGCAGTGATAAAATTAAGGAGAGCAGGCAGGCAGGACAGCTCTTTCTCAGTGATTCTGCTCAGGCTATGGAACCCCTTCTTCAGGATAAGTGTTTGACTCACTCCATTATTACTTCAGGACATTTGGTTAAGATGTTTTATTTTTAAGTATATTTGGATTTGGGTTGAGTCTTGTTGAATCTACTGAAGTTTGCTTCGCTGAAGTTTGTTGTACTGCTTGTCGTTTTAATGCTGGCTTTCTTTGTAATGATACTTGTGCCATTTTGCCACTTTTAGTTGTCTAGTTTTTATGAACTGTGTTGTTATTGCTTTTATAGAGACTGGGTGTTTAAAAATTCATCTCATGGAAAGTTACTTACAAGTTTGATATCTATTTGTTTATTCTATTTACATTTTCATATCCTGCTTTTCTCCCCTATGTGGACCTAAAGCAACTTATCATCTGTGTTCTTGCTAAACTGTGCTAGTGTGTGTGCTGGTGCACAAATTTTTAGCCATAGAAAAGATTAAGAGTCCAGTAGCACCTTAAAGACTAACAAAATTTGTGGTAGGGTATGAGCTTTCGTGAGTCACTGCTCACTTCTTCAGATACTGCTAGAGTGTGAGTCCATCTGTCCTATGTGCTAGAAAGTGGAGTGATTTCAGATGCCAAATAACATTAGCAGGTGAATAACAGTAGAAAGTGTGAATCGATTAGGTGTGATATGCAGAGAGGCAGTAGGCATGGAGAGCATTGGTAATTAGACATGAAACCTAGGTCTGGATTCAGTCCAGGTGGATGCGTTGTCTTGAGCTTTGTTATCAGTTGCAATTCAGCAGTCTCTCTAATCTCCCTTTGAAATGCCTTTGTAAAATAACTGCTACTTTTAGGTCAGCAACTGAATGTCCTGGAAGGTTAAAATGTTCCCCCACTGATTTCTGGATGTTGTAGTCTCTCATGTCAGACTTCGGTCCATTAATTCTTTGTTGAAGGAACTGGCTTATTTGTCCAATGTAGTGAGTGGAGGGGCAAATGCTGACAGTTTGTTTGTTTTCTGTTGCACTATTGAGTTGAAAAGTATTTGAAAAAGTGTGCATGCACACAAAAGCTCATACCTTGAATAAACCTTTGTTGGTCTTAAAGGTGCCACTGGACTCTGAATTTGTTCTGCTATTGAGTTATGGCACGCTGTCAGTTGAAAAATCAGTCAGGCCCTGCCTTTCTTTCTCCCGTCTTTTTCTTTGGCTGTAGAAAGGGATGTTTCTACACAATGAGAAATGGACTAATCAGCAACTACATTCCAGTCACAGTGGGTATCTTGCAGTCCGTCTCCTGAGAAGGAAAGGATGTCTTCAAGCTGAATGGGCTGAGGGGGAAACCCTTGACCTTTTAGCAATATGTGGTGAGGAGAAAACCACCGAGACTTTCACTCAAACTGCACTGCAGTCTGTAGAGGAAAACGGCGATTTACAGCCACTTACAAAATGGATTTAAAAGCTGTCTGAAATCACTGTTCCCGCCTCACACCAGACAAATATAAGGCAGCAGTGGATAAAAAACAGGATAAAATTTAGGGTCAAATTAGACCTTACAATTATAATAATTGTGCCGCTGAAAACAGCCGATGCGTTTCTAACTTTCCTCCCTCCCCTCCCCATAAGTGTAGAATTTATTATACCTCATGATATCATAATGTTCCATGTTTACCTGGCATTGGCAGCTGGGGGTGGGGATGGTGTCAGAAAAATGCAGAATGCCTCAAAAGAAATCCTACTAGACTTTCTGGGAAATGTAGGTGCATGATGGTTGCTATGCATACAAAGGTAAAGGTTCCCTTGCTCGAAAGCCAGTCGAATCCGACTCAAGGGTTGCGGTGCTCATCTCCGTTTCAAAGCCGAAGAGCCAGCGCTGTCTGAAGACATTTCCGTGGTCATGTGGGCGGCATGACTAAACACCAAGGCGCTCGGAACGCTGTTACCTTCCCACCGAAGTGGTACCTATTTATCTACTTGCAATTTCTTGCTTTCGAATGGCTAGGTTGGCAGGAGCTGGAACTAGAGATGGGAGCTCACTCCATCATGCGGCACCCGGGTCTCGAACTGCTGAACTACTGACCTTCCACAGCCTGCAGTTCAGCGTCTTATCTGCAGTCAAAATATCTTTCTTTACCTAGCTGGTTACTATACTATATCAAGAGTCTCCTGGCATGCCCCAACAATGGGCAATATCTTTTACCCAGAAGTGGTGGGTAACTCCAGCATTGTGAAACACTTCTTAGTGGTATGACTGATGGTTTTGTTATATTGCTTCCAGAAAGTTTTTTATGTTTTCTAAGGGTAGGAGGTTTCCTTGTCTTAAAATGTCAAATGTAGGCTGAATCATCTTGGTGTTTGTTTTTCTTTAAGGCAATACTATTCACAGAGCATGAATGGAGGTCCTTACGTAGAACACATATTTCCATTGCTACACCAATTAACTTTAGAGTTTTCTGGAAAAAAAAGTCTTGTTAATGAGACAGTTGTAATTGGTTTTTGAGGAGAGAAGTTTAGTTGGGGGGGGGGGTTCCAAGTGAAAGAAAGAACCTGAGTGAAGAAGGTCTTCCAGTTTGCAAGGTTGTGTACTTCCATTGATGTTTGGAGTAATTGTACCAAAATGACCAGAAAATAATTCTTCATTGGAAGGTGGCATTGGATCCCACTGGGCACAATATACTACATGGAATATTAACAGCCTTCTTAGTAGCGAGGAACTGAGAGTGGGTAGAAATGTGTGCCACAGTACAAGTCCTGCAAATCTAGTTTGGGGCTATTTACAAAATAATAGAAATTCAGTTGGTAGAAGGAAGGGTAGAAACAGAGACACCCAACCTTATCACTGCTCAGAGGTTTGGCATCTTTCCAGACACCCCTCACCCTGAATTCAGTATATGTAGTACACCTTAAGCTTTCCCTGCTTCAGACCTTTTTTCTTAGGTTGCGTGAATGTGTGTGTGGCCATCGGAATAGTGTGCATTTAGTCTGAGCATTCTCATGCTGGGTACTATACATGCGCTTGATATTGTTCTGGCTGTGTAAGTGTATTTCAATATTCCACTCAACCTGTTCCTTTTTCTACTCTAGCCACATCTCATTTTTTGTTCCAAGCTTGCTTAGGAACTGTATCACTTAGTCACTGATTCCTTGAATTAAAGTGTGGTGGTCTGAGTTCAAATCTGAACACAGTTCTCTAGGCAGCTATTGAAATTTAAAAATCCTTTTGAGACAAGAGTGAGGGTGGGCAATCTACACTTGGCTCTTTTTCAGTGATTTTGGGTCCAGTTTCAGAGGCAGACTCATTCACACAGAACACTCGCCTAACATACATGTGTAGAGACTATGCATAAGACCAGAATTTTAACATGACTGCAGAAGCCACATCACTTGGGGATGCACAAAACAAGAACGAGAGTCCTCATTCTTTGTAAACGAATATTGCAGGATGGATGCCTTAACATTGATGAACACGAAGACTAGCTTGATGGAATCCTGAAGTATATATTACCTTATCTGGTTATTACATATGTTACTATCTCTACAAAGAGGAATGACTAATCATCGAGCATAGGTATCGGAAGAAGTTATTTGTACGAAATGAGCAGGGGTCATTTCGTAGAAAAAGAGCTAGGGGAACTCATTAGCATAACTCATTAGCATATGCCACACCCCCTGACATCACCGGAAGTGTGTCATAAGGCCACACCCCCTGACATCACCGGAAATGTGTCATAAGGCCACACACCCCGCCCCCAACGGTCCCGGCCGCCACCACTGGCCTTGCAGCTCCACTGCCGAGCCCCATGAGGGGCCCGGCGGTGGACCTGCAAGGCCGGCGGGAGTGCAAGGAAGCCCCGCAAAGGCCCTCCCTGGCCCCAGGCAGGCAGGGGTGGGGATAGGCAGAGAGGAAGCAACTTACCCTCCCTCTTCTCCTGCCTCCTCCTGGCTGAATGAGGGCCGGAAGCGGGGCGGACGGAAGCAGGGGGCAGGGTTTCGTCATGTGCCCCGCCCCCCATACCTCACCCGGGGGGACTGCGATCCCCCGCGATCGCCCCGTAATGACCTCTGGAAATGAGTCAAGTTGCCAAGGAACTCATCAAAGTCTTATTAATTGTTTAGCAATATTTATATCCAATGTTCAATATGACAATCACTGGGGGAAGCATATGCTTGCGAAACCATCCTTCACTGTGATTTTATGCCCTGACCTGGATAGCCCAGGCTAGCCCGATCCTGTCAGATCTCGGAAGCTAAGCAGGATCTGCGTCGAATAGTATTTGGACGAGTGACCTCCAAGGACTACCAGGGTCACGACGCAGAGGCAGGCAATGGCAAACCACCTCTGAAACGTCTCTTGCCTTAAAAAAAAAGTCTAGCTCACCACCTAGTGGTGCGTAATGCTAAAAGAGCTAGAAGTTCTGGCTGCCAGACAATCTTAGGATCTCCTGGCTATTCGACACACAGTGCCGTACGATAATAATAATAATGATTGTGATCTTAAAGAATGTTTTTCATTTGTACAGTTGACCAATCTTTCATTTCAATTTTGTTGCTTGATAGTTAAAATGAGGGTCATTTAAGGAGTTTGGAATGTGAGTGTTCTTTCTCTTGAAGACTCTCCTTTTCACTCTTATACATTCCTTTCCCTGTGTTGAATGAATATGTGCCATGCCCTTTTGATTTGCTATTTAACTGCTTCTTGGGTTTCCCCCCCTCTCAAATACAGCTGACCCCGCTGCACTGGGCTTCATCATTTCTCCCTGGTCTCTGCTGCTGCTTCCATCTGGAAGTGTATCGTTTACAGATGAAAATGTTTCCAGCCAAGATCTCCGAGCATTTACAGCACCAGAAGTGCTCCAGAATCAGCCACTTTCCTCTCTCTCTGATGTTGAAAAGGTATGATCACTTCTCCTCTGCAGGACTTTCTTAGGAAAGTATACTTTTAAAAATTACAACATAGGTTAAGTTTTATCCAAATGTGCAGATGCGTGTCTTATCACACATCCCATCCCATAGATGCATCTGGTGAATCGTGGAAGAAATCCTTTCTTTCTGTAATGAAAGAAATCCCTTCTTTCTGTATCGGTGGAGAGACAGTGTGGTGCAGTGGTTAGAATGCTGGACTAGGATCAGGAAGAGCCAGAGTTAAACCCCCAGTTTGCTGTGAAAGCTCACTGGGTGTTCTTGGGCTAGTTGTGCACTCTTACCCTATCCTACCTCACATAGTTGTTGTGAGGATAAAATGGAGGACAGGAAAATGATGGAAGCCACTTTGTGTCCCCATTGGGAAGAAATAAGAAGTATAAATGAATCATGTGGGCAGGGCTTTTTTGTGGAAAAAGCCCAGCAGGAACTCATTAGCATAATAGGCCACACCCAGCAGCAGAAACTTATTAGCCTATTAGGCCACACCCCTGACAGCACAACTCACTGTCATATTAGGCCACACCCCCACGTTACCAGAAGTGTGCTCATCCAGCCACACCCACCTTTCCCTTCTTTATTCTGTTTACCTTGTTTGTTGTCAAAACCCAGGGCTTTTTTGTAGCAGGAACTCCTTTGCATGTTAGGCCACACACCCCTAATGTAGCCAATCCTAATGAGTTTCTGCTCTTGGGTGTGGCCTATTATGCTAATACGTTCCTGCTGGGTATGGCCAACTTGGAAGCCAGATGGAATTCCGTTCCTGTGCGTTCCTGCCCAAAAATAGCCCTGCATGTGGGTATATATAATACAGTAATAGATTTGCACCTCAATACAGGCCTCCTTAGATTGCTGTCCCCTTCAAAAAGTAGTGCCAACCCCCAAATGCTTAGATCTTGTCTGCCTCATGCGTTTTTGTGTCAAGAAAAGAACACTTCACGTCCAATCTGTTTGCACTGCATACATGCCAATGTTGGATCAGGCCAAAGGCCCATCCAGTCCAACACTCTGTATCCCACAGTGGCCAGAAATACCAGGTGCCCTCAGGAGGTCCACCAGTGGGGCCAGGACATTAGAAGCCATCCCACTGTTGACCCCCCCAAGCACCAAGAAGATGACAGAGCATCACTTGCCCCAGAGTCCCTATCTATACCTTGTGGCTAATAGCCACTGATGGACCTCTGCTCCATATGCTTATCTAATTCCCTTTTGAAGCCGTCCATGCTTGTAGCCGCCACCACTTCCTGTGGCAGTGAATTCCAAGTGTTAATCACTCTTTGGGTGAAGAAGTACTTCCTCTTATCCGTTCTAACCCGACCGCTCAGCAATTTCATGGAGTGCCCACGAGTTCTTGTATTGTGAGAAAGGGAGAAAAGTACCTCTTTCTCTACCTGCTCTTTCCCATGCATAATCTTATAAACCTCAATCATGTCACCCCTCAGTCGTCGTTTCTCCAAGCTAAAGAGCCCTAAGCGCCTTAACCTTTCCTCATAGGGAAAGTGTTCCAACCCTTTTATCATTCGAGTTGCCCTTTTCTGCCCTTTTTCCAAAGCTATAATATCCTTTTTAAGGTGTGGTGACCAGAATTGCACACAGTATTCCAGATGAGGTCGCACCATTGATTTATATAGCGGCATAATGGTATTGGCTGATCTGTTTACAATACCCTTCCTAATAATCCCCAGCATAGCATTGGCCTTCTTTATTGCAGTCACACACTGTCTCGACATTTTCAGTGAGTTATCCACTACAACTCCAAGATCTCTCTCTTGATCAGTCTCTGCCAGTTCAGACCCCATCAACGTGTATTTATAGTTAGGATTTTTGGCTCCAATGTGCATCACCTTGCACTTGGCCACATTGAACCCCATTTGCCATGTTGACGCCCACTCGCCCAACTTTGACAGATCCCTTTGGAGTGCCTCACAATCCTCACTGGTTTTCACCACCCTGAACAACTTCGTATCATCCGCAAATTTAGCCACTTCACTGCTTACTCCCAACTCCAAATCATTAATGAACAAGTTAAAAAGCAGTGGACCAATTACTGATCCCTGCGGTACCCCACTGCTTACCCCCCTCCACTGAGAGAACTGCCCATTTATACTCACTCTCTGTTTTCTATTAATTAGCCAGTTTTTGATCCATAAAAGGACTTGTCCTTTTATCCCATGATTTTTGAGCTTACTTAGGAGCCTTTGATGAGGAACTTTATCAAAAGCTTTCTGGAAGTCAAGGTAAACAATATCTATTGGATCCCCCTTGTCCACATGTTTGTTCACCCCCTCAAAGATCATTAACAGGTTAGTGAGACAAGATCTTCCCTTACAGAACCCATGTTGAGTCTGCCTCAATAGGTTTTGTTCATCTATGTGCCTACTAATTCTTTCCTTAATAATGGTTTCCACCAATTTACCCGGTATCGACGTCAGACTGACTGGCCTGTAATTTCCCGGATCTCCTCTGGAACCCTTTTTAAAGATGGGAGTGACATTAGCTACCTTCCAGTCCTCAGGAATGGAGGCTGATTTTAAGGAGAGATTACATATTTTTGTCAGGAGATCCACAAGTTCACAATTGAGTTTTTTCAGAACTCTCGGATGTATGCCATCTGGCCCTGGTGATTTATCAGTTTTTAAGTTGTCTATCAGTTTTAGGACCTCCTCTCTCGTCACCTCAATCGGACTCAGAATTCAGACCTTCCTTCTCTGCATATGCTAGTATGAACATGCATGAATACATTCATGTGCACATAGTTCCATCCACTCCTTTGATGTGCTTATGAATGAAAATTTGCACTTAGGATTTGGCTGACACCAAACATTCCACTAAATCTAGGAAATTTTGCACATCTACTTGTCATAAGTAATGCTGCTGAGGAAGGCTTGAACTGACCCTGTCCAGCTGTGTTTTAAAGAGGCACTGTGATTTAATCTCTGGGCCTTCTGTCTTTAAAAAAAACCCCGGTGATACTTCTGTTAATAAGCTTTGGACTGTATCTAGATAAAACTGTCCATAGTCCCATGCAGCCCCGTAGCTAGGGAATTCTTTGGGAGGGGGCCTTGGGGGGGGCCGCCAGCTAATTAAATGGAAGTACAGTGCAGGTGGTAAGTTGGAGCACTTTGGGGGCAGCCCTGGAGGGAGGGGGCCCAGAAGAAACACAAGGGGGCCGGGCCCCGTGGGCCCCATGTTAGCTACGGGCCTGGTCCCATGTGTGCTTATGCTAAAGATTCTACATAGGCAGTGGACATGCAGATCTAAATGTCTGTCTCATATTTATTTACTTAATTCATTTATAACCTGCTTACATTAGCCTCTCCTTTGTTTAATTCGCACAAGAACCCTGTCATATATGTTAGGCTGACAGAGTATGACCGGAAAACAAGGTCATCAAGCAAATTTCCATGGCAAAGTGGGTCTTCGATCTGGTTCTCCAAGATCCCAGTCCAACAACACTGCACCGACGTACCCCCGTCATACATGGAACCTCATGTACACAGGAAATGCTGCTCCTGGGGGACAGGGTACCTCACGACATGAAGGGGGAGTCTAAGGTCTCCAGTGGCAGGGGTAATTTGCAAAAATCCTATATGACATTAAAGGTTTATTTATTTATTTATTTATTGATTGATTGATTGATAAAAATCACCTTCCCTTTGCAGACACCCCCCTTTTGATCCAACCCAGTGAGTGGTAACCCTTGGATCAGTTAGCCCCTATGATACCATGGGTACAGAGTAGCCAATATTGAGATATTTTGCATTCTTTGAATAAGAATTGTTATGGAGTCATGAAGTGACAGCTGTTCCATAGTAATTAAAGTATACAGAATGGAAACATGTGATCCTGTATGTGCTCACTCTGACTCTCTCCCAGCTATTACAGGGCATTTGGCAGCAATTTGAGCTGCACCAAGCAAACGCCTATACAAACCTGGGTCACTGCTAGAGTGTGGAGCCACATCTTAGTATTGCTGTCCTCTGTACTTTAAGAGTGGCAACTAAATTTTGTTCACATTTGCATGCTTGTTTTATGTTCATGCAACTGTTGATGATGAAGAAGAAAAGAACTGGGAAAGAAAAGAGCCCTTCAGTATTCAAGGGCTTAGTCGCTTCATAAGTTTTTCCTGAGAGTAAAGAATTCAGACCAAATTGGGAGTTCAAAGCAAAGGGAAAAAAAGAAAGGAAAAAGAAAAGAACCATTTCCAAATTACAAGGGCTACCAGTTTAAGATAAACACACTCTCCAAAATGCCAAGATTATTATTTTAATTACAAATGAAGTCCATCTCTTAATACTTCACAATTAAGTATGCTGTGTGCCTGCTAACTTTTTCTGGTTTTCAGTAGTTTTATTCAACCATAAGGCGCCAAGAGGATTTCTGAGTGGGAATCTGCTTTCATTTCTAGCTCTTGCTCCTGAACGCTGAGTGTATCCCGCAAAAGTGCTGAAATCAAAACAAATTCTCATTTTATAATGACCTCTTCTTAAAACACAATGACAGGCTTGCATTGAGACTCTGGGTTATGACTTCATCCCTAACCCGAAGAAATGATGTACTCGGTGATAAATTTCTGGCAAAGCCCTAGGACAGATAAAAATAACGCCTTGTTGGTCACTCGTTAAATTTGAACTTCTTTGTATTTAAGTAACTGTATTAACTCTGATGTTGCCAGAAATACAATTTCAGCTCATTTAACAAACAAGGAGTTGCAAAATCAGCTTGGTTGCTTTTGGGCTGTGTGTGTGAAAAGCACCAGAAACGTAAACCGCTACGAGCCAAGCGATCAATCCTATGTGTTCATTCTGAAGAGATTCATGTACACTTGCCAATTCTGCAATTGTTTACATAAGAAATTACTTCCTGCGGCAGCTGTTTCTCATAACCAGATCCTTGGGAGGCTGAAAGCCTTCCTGGGATCTTTCCTGTGGGTCCAGCAGGGTTCCATCTTGTATCACTCCCCCTCTCATCATAAACATCATTCTAGCCAGATGATTTGTTACTCCATCAGCTCCACAAGTGTCTCTTGTGTGTCTCTTGTTGCATTGCAGATCCATGTTTATTCTCTTGGGATGACACTTTATTGGGGAGCCGACTATGAAGTTCCACAAAGCCAAGTAAGTAGTAAAGCTTCATTACCGGCTTATGTTACTGTGGCAGCGGCTAGAGCTATATGTTACTGATCCCCTTGCATTGGTCACTGCATCTCTGCTGCAATATGGAATTGGGCATTAGGCAGACTGTAGAAAAGAAATGGTGGTTAGAGCGACTCCCTTCCCAAGCCACTTTGCCACAGATGAGATTTCAAATATGCAGAACTCACATATATACAATAACAGCAGGAGCTTGACTGGGGAGGCTGCTGTTCAAGGAACGGCAGTTGCAGAACTCAGAGTGGGGAGATTAAGTACCCCTTCTCCTACCCGGCATATCGGAAGGGGCCTTGGCTCAATGATAGAGCATCTGCCTTGCATGTAGAAGGTCCCAGGTTCAATCCTCGGAATCTCCAGTTGAAAGGATCTGGTAGTAGGTGATGGGAAAGACTTCTACCTGAGACCCAGGAGAACTGCTACTGGTCTAAGTAGACGATACCGACCTTGATGGACCAATGGCCTGATTCATTGTAGGGCAGCTTCATGTTCTGCTGTTTCGAAACATGCTTGTGGGAATGTGACCAGAGAGTCAGGAGTCTTTCTACCACTGTTGTTACAGAGGAAGTTGTCATTTTTTCTGTAGTACACAGTGACACTAAGGGAAGGGGTAGAGAAATTCTGTTTCGTTAATATTCTTAGTAACCAGCCATTCAGATGTGTAAAATACCCTTTCTACACTGTGACCTTCTCTAGTGTTGTTGGAGAGTCTACAAATTATATTATAACAAGAATAGGAGGACCCAAGAGGGCTTGTGAGGGAGGGGAAACCCGTTCCCCCACCACTACCCTGTAGGGTCTAGCACCATTCACCGCTGCTATCCACCAGTTGTGGCACTGCTTCTCTCACCTCCTCCTCCTCCTCTGGGCACCATTTTGGTTGCTGTGGCAATCCAATACGTTGCCTGAAGTCCATGGTTTGGCACATGCACAAACATTGTTCTTGACATGGGCAGTTTACCACCATTTTTTAAAATAATCAAATACTTCTGCAGACCTAGGAAAGGATGCAGGACAACATGGCATACAGGTGTACACATATATGTGGAAGACTGATGTGCTGGAAACTCCTCCCTACAAAAATAACCACCCCAAATTCTAGCATATCAGGGAGAAGGGTTCTGGCCTAGTTTTCTCTCTAACATTATGATGTTCTGTGTGCATGGGTATATTTTGAACGGGGGAACATTCAGTCATATCCCAGCCCTGCCTGTAATCAGACACCTTAAACACACATGAAGCTGCTTATACTGAATCAGACCTTTGGTCCATCAAAGTCAGTATTGTCAGGCGGTGGATCTGCTGGGTTTCAGGCAGTGGTCTTTTACATCACCTACTACCTGATCTTTTAACTGGCGATGTCAGGGATTGAACCTGGAACCTTCTGTATGCCAAGCAGATGCTCTACCATTAAGCCACGGCCTCTCCACCTTTGTGAAGTATTAGTCTCTGTTGAATCAGGTTGATGAACCATGATGAAAGTGACTGGGCAGTGGCATAAATTTTAGCATGACTCCAGAAACAACATCAAAAGCTATGAACTTTAAAACATTCAAAAAAAGCTTTTAGACTCAGAATGTTGTCTAGAGAAGTGGGGGTTTGCTTAAAGTGATGGTTTGATGCTCTGACAAAGGAGATGTATGAAGCTTCATCACGGCTGATGTTCAGGAAAGCTCTTAATAAAAGAGTTTCAGCTAAACTGTGAATAAAACTCTTTTAATTATACCATTGTAAGCCTCCTTAGGCGGACTATGGTTAGTTGGGATGTCAGTGTTTTGAAGCATAAATAAACGAGTCTCTAAAAACAACATTTGTGGACCTGAGGATAGCCTAGGAGTCCTGACATAACATCCTGAGTCTAAATTCTAAGAGTATGAGAAAAAACTGGTGCACAAGGGATGAGAAACTAGGACGCTGTACATGCTGAGAGATACCATAAGAATATAAGCATGGCCATAATGAATCAGACCATTGGTCCACCTTGTTTCACACATTGGTCCAAGCAAATTAATTCAGAAGGCCTTGCAGGTAGGGCAGGGAGGCCAAAGCCTCCACCTGTTGCTTCTCAGCACTAGTATTCAGAAGGTGATCATGACCTGCCTCTGAACATGGAGGTCCCGTTTGGTTGTCATGGGTAACAGCCATTGACAGACTGCCATGAATTTATGTAATCCTCCCTTAAAGGCAACTAAGCTATTGGAAAAGAATTCCTTTATTAGACTTATTATCAGGAAAGTAGATTCTATATGGTGCCCTTTTATGTGTTTGATGGAGATAAATAGTTTCTGACCTTTTTTACTGTTGATGGTTTAATCAAGGTAATTTAAAGATTGTCTAGCTGGTGGACTTTTTATAATTCTATTGACTTGTTTTTGTATGTCCTCTGAAAGGTAGCCTACTGTGTTTTTTTTTAATGTGGCCCCTGCCCTTTAAGATGCTTTTGTAATATCTCTGTCAGAAAATAATAAAGGCAGCTAACCTAATGGCCGTTACTATATACTGCCACGGTGATTTCCAAAAGTGAACTCGTAGTTAAAAACAGTGCCATCCCAAAAACACTGCGTTGTTTTCTGAGTAGGCCTATTTTGGATCGCCAAGTACTTCTTTTTTTCTTTTCTGAATCTATAGTGCACCAACTTTGTTGGGTGAGAGGGAGAAAGTGTTTTCTACCCACTTCCTTCATAATTGTATAAATCTCTATCATGTCTCCCCTTAAGTCTGATATGAAAAATTGCAGACCTACGGAGGAGCATTTTAATCTCCCAGGATCTAAAGCTTACAGTTCTCCTACGGAAGAAACGTCAAAAGGGAGAATCCAGTGCAATAGTGCTGAATTAGAATTCATCAAGAGATTCAATGCTACTTCCCCCCCAGGCTTGAACAAAGACAGGAGTTCCCTCACTTACAGGTGTTAATCACTCAGCGTGACCCACCTTTTACATATGTTAATTAGTTCTGCTTATCGTATTTTAGACAGCACCTTCCTTGATTAGAGTTTATTATCGTTATCTGTGCATCGTCTGCAAGCAATCCACTCAGTATTGATAGGTTTCTCCCTGATTGGTCGTTGTTTCAAATTGGCCTCTATTTGTAACATCTCCCTCCACCTGCCTGCCGTATAAATAAGCGTCACGCATCTGATGAAGTGAGTTCTGACTCTTGAAAGGTTATGTGGGAATATTTAAGGAGCCACTGGGCTTCTGTTTTATTTCTCTAACGAACGTGCCAACCAAAGACCGCCTGGGAAAGAAAGGAGCCGAGCCGGAAGAACAACAGGCCCACCACCTGGGTGCCGGTAGGCAGCCCCGTCCCTGCACTATGTAGCCCTAGTTAGGGAAAAAGTGTTCTTAGAACGGTCTATGTAAACCGCCCAGAGACCCCTCGGGGTCAGGGCGGTATAGAAGCCGAATATATAAATAAATATAAATCACACACACACCCCTCCAAAGTCTTGTAGGATCTACTCTTTGACTCCTTTGGTTGCCCTTTTCTGCACCTTGTCCCATGCGACGATATCCTTTTTGAGATACGGTGACCTGAACTATACACAGTACCTTTTAATGCAGTATATAATATTACTTGCTGCCAAGTGAGTATATAAAAGGAGGAACAGTAGGGCTATGAGATTAAAATCAACAGTACTGGAAAGACTAGGTTCTCTCTTCTTTTTTCCTGACTTTTTTGTTTATGCGACTGCTGATGAGCAAATAGAGTTTTAAAAAAAATTAAATAATTTAACTGCTAAAAGATGCGAGCAGTACACGACAGGGCATGTCATCAGAAGATAACCACCCACTATGAAAGCTGACGATAAACTGCACAAATGCCTATGGGAACTGGGAAGTAGCAGTGCCACAGAGGGTGCACACCCCGGAGTATGTGTGTTTTTCAAGCAGAATACATAACGTGATTGACTAGTAATACAGGAAAAAAAGAGAAGTTCCCAGCTAGTATGGGTGTTGTCAGATACTTACAAGACAGGGCTGGCTCTTGCTGTCCAGTCAGTTTGCTTACTTCTTTTTTTGCCATCAAGTTAAAGCTGACTTATGGTGGCCCCGCAGGGCTTTCAGGGCAAGAGACGTTCAGAAGTGGTTCGCCTTTATCGGCCTCTGTGTTGTGACCTTGGTTATCCTTGGTGGTCTCCCGTCCAAATACTAGCTAGGCTTCAGGGCTTGCTTCCTTAGTCCTGATTTTTTTGCTAGTCGTGTTTCTACTTTGCGGAGAAGCTCATCCTGACGGGGCTCATTCACACGGACACGTCCATTAACTTTTTTCTCTTCTTTTCTTTGGGTTTTTTTTTGGGGGGTGTGTGTGTCTGCACCTGGAAGTCATGTTGACCTCTGGTGACTGACCCCTACTGGGGGCCTGGAGGACATTCAGAGAGGTGGCTGAATAAAGCCTGCCTCTGTCCTCCTGACTTGGTATTCCAAGGAAGTCTCCCATCCAAGTACTAACCACAGTCGACCCTGCTTAGCTTCCGAGATCGGGCTTGCATGGGCTATGCAGGTTGGGGTCCATTAACTTCTTGTCTGTCATGATGACATGCGTGTCCACCACAGTTTAATTGCCAGAGTTAGAACGTCTCTGCCACCCTTGATTCTTTGGGCTAAACAAGACGTGAAACTGTTCTTGTGCCCGACACAGGAACACCGCTGCCATTTTAAAGCCTAAAATAGGCCATTTAAAAATGCCACGAGGGGGCAGCATGGTGGGATAAGACACTCGTGTTCCCCACCTACATACCTTTTCAAGTACCGAAATGGGGGGGGGGGGGCTTGAACAGGCATAGGTGAAATGAGTGTGTACTGGCTGGCAGGCTCCGAATATCTGGTTACCTTGCCCTCGTCTGTTTGTGAAAGGGAGGCATGATTAGAGGCAGGCTCTGAAGTCCAGGGTTGTTCAATCCAGGGTCAATCCAGTGATCAAGCAGTGTCATTCGGTCTGAGGATTCAAGATTCAGCAGCAATGCTGTTCAGTCCGGGGTCAGAGTATCCAAGTATCAGATATTAATCAGGCAAGGCAATGGCAGCAGGTCAGTGTATAGCATACGCATTGCGTCCACGCCCAGCAGCCTTCCATGGGCAGCTTTATAGCCACATGCCTAATTGTCAAGCCTTCAGCCAGCTACTCAGAGTCAGTCCTGCATCTGCAACAAGTGTTGGCTGTGAATCCTGACAAGCCCACAGCTCATTTTCCTCCTAGTTGGCTTCTGTTGACTTGGGGCTGGCTACACAGGGCTCCTCTTCTCCTGAGGAGTCTTTGCTGTCGCTGAGCCCTGGCTGACTCACGACAGAGTGCTTTGTCCTGCTGAGCTGCAGGAAATGGCCCCTTTTAGGCTTTAAAATGGTGGCAGCATTTGGACAAGCAATAAATAAACCCTATAACTAAATGAATGGCTGTCTAAAAAGGGTGACGGTTTTAGAACCAGGAACCAAAAAAATGGATAATCCTCTTTCAGTTGTTCTGTCTGGGGCTGAATGAAGGCTCCTAAAGTCAGTCTGCTGTCATGTTTTCAACCATCTGTTAATTTCTTTGGGGGTATGAGAAGATACTCTTAAGCAGCTCATGATGATGATGATGATGTTTCACGAGTGGTACAGATATTAACTGCACCTTCCTGCACTTTTCTGTCTGAAAATCAGCCTATCCAACTCGGAGACCATTTAAACAGCATACTGCTCGGCATGTGCGAAGATGTCGTCTACGCCCGCTTGTCTGCCCGAACTGTTCTGGATGCTTGCAGCGCTCACGTACGGAATAGTAACTGCTCACCTTCCTTCTCATATGTGAAGCAGTTGGTGAAACTGGTTCTGGGAAGTTTGTCTGGGGTAAGTGTTTAAAAACAAGTTGGGCAATAGTTCAAATTGTCCAAGCTGTTGGGAAGAAACAAATGCATTTATGCTATTTTCTCTGCCTTCCTTAAAGAAACATCTCTGAAAAAAATACGGAAATGTATTTTCTGCCATCTAGAAGGTTATTTCTCTTGGAGGATATGCAGAATATTTTCATGGTCATTTTGAGTATGGTCTTTTATAGACTGCTCAGTTATCGTAATAGTGGGCCTTCTGTGCAACCTGAAGGAGGAGCGTGTCAGATTTATGTGCTGGATTCAGTCTTTCTGTAAACAGGCCAAATTTGTATAGAGGATTTTTACCCCATCCCATCGTGCTTCTGTATGTCCCCTGAAAAACCATTCTTAAGGATCATCATGGGAGGTGATGGGAATTGACATTAATCACAGGCGCACACACCCTCTCTTGTGTGAGCTTTTGCTCTGATTGTGGCATTTAGTCCAGTTGCACAAGTGCTTGAGGTGGGTGGGGCTTGTGCTGATCTCCCCCTCCCTTCTCGCTGCAGCCTCCTGTGCCGCATCAAATGTTGACCCTGAAAGCTCTCTCATTCTGTTTACAGAAGTCTTGAATCTAACCCACTGTGTGTAGCATTTTGCCCCGTTCATTATTCCAGAGAAGATTAAATATGTGTTTGCATCACCAGGTTCCTGTCCCCCAGAGCAGAATCTCAGCCAGAATATCTAGCTCTGAGTCCTATAGAAACAAGATTTTAGAGGTTGGTTCGAGATCAACAAGAATTTCTGGGTATAATCTTTGAGAGTCAAAATTCCCTTGACTCTCAAAAGCTTGAACCTCGAAAATCTGAGCCACTACCCTGACCTGGATAGCCCAGGCAAGCCCAATCTCGTATCTCGGAAGCTAAACAGGGCCGACACTGGCAAGTATTTGGATGGGAGACCCCCAGAGAATGCCAGGGCCAGGGAGGTCAGAGGCAAGCTATCAAGCCACTTCTCTGAACGTCCTCCGTGTCCCAGTAGGAGTTGCCAGAGGTCGCCATGACTTCCAGGCACGGGCACACATACACACACACACACACACACACACACACACAAATGCAAAAGAGGGGTGGAATCTGAGCCACTGAGTATCACTGGTCTAACCAATCACACATTCTAAGGTGCTACTGGACTTGAATCTAGCTCTTTTCTTGCAGACCACCTTGGCTACCCTCTGAAACTATCAGCCAGAATTTGTGAATCATTAGACCAGTGATACTCAGGAGCCATACGTGCTTCTTTGACATGCCCTGCGGCTTATCTGAGCCCTGTTTCCCAATGTGGCACCTGCCCCATGTTTCTGGAAAGCGAGCAGGGCCCTTCCTGGAGGGGCTTGTGGTTGGCAGGTAGTTCTCACCTTGAAACAGCTCCCTCCAGAGAAACAGGGAAGTCGAGAGTCTTCCTGAGACGTAGTCCTCATGCTAGATACGGACGTAAACGTGGCTGTTTGGCTTGGTGGCAAGTGCAGTTGAGGTGGTGTGAGCACACTGGGTTAGACAATATTTGTCACAAGCAAAATGGTGTTTTCCTAACTGCCCCTTTGTTGTTGAATGTTGTTATGGGGGGGACTAGGAAGGGGAGTGGGCTTCCTTAGTGCCCTTAAATGTCAGAGGAGGACAAGATAAAAGTGCTTTTTAGGGGAATGAACTTGGCTCAGCACTCACTTTGCACACTTGAAGGTATCAGCTTCAGCCCCTCCTGTCTCAGTGTAAGGGGTCTCACCTGGCAGGTATTATGAAAGACATTTCTCTGCCAAGAGATGCTGGACAGCCAGCACCTGTCAAAGTAGAGAGTGCTGTTCCGATAGATCAGTGGCCTGATTCAGTAGAAGGCAGCCTGATACTTTTCTTTATATTCTTGACTGACCAGACAATGCACTTTTCTTTCCTGCCAATAGACAACATTTGGTTATTCACTACAGTTCTGTAGGAGTAGAGAAAAATGGTTAGAATGTGGTTATCAGGTACGGAATTCAGGTTCCTAGGAATCATAGCTTTCTTTCTTTTCCCCCCAATCTATTACAGACTAGAACATTCACAACTGATCACAGCACATCAAAGAAAGCTTAAGAATAAGATCTGTGTCTTGTTTTTATTATTGTAAAATGATAATTAAAAAATAACCCAACTTCCTACAAATTTATCCATAAAGTAAGATTTGCATCTTTGAGCTCTTTGATAATATGTGAGATTTGTTGATAAGAACATAAAAGAGCCCTGCTGGATTGGACCAGAAAGGAACCCAAAACACAATAGAAACCATGGAATAGTAGCACAGTAGAACAAATGGATTCTGCTCACCTCTATTTTACAATACGTTACATGGATTATCTCAGTCATTACCGTAACATAAAAACATAAGAAAAGCCCTGCTGAATCAGACCAGTGGTCCATCTTGTCCAGCATCTTGTCCTACACAGGGGCCAATCAGTTCCTCTGGGGGTCCAACAACAGGACATTCAGGCCATATTTTATTTATTTATTTGCTTGGTTGTTTTAAGAGGACAAAAAGTCACCATGGCTAGTAGCCACTGATAGACCTATCCTCCATGAATCTATCCAATCCCCTTTTAAAGCTGTTTTTTCCTGTGGCCATCATTACATCCTCTGGCAGCAAACTCCACGTTTCAATAGCTCGCTATGCAAAGAAGTATTTCCTTTTGTCCATCCTGAATCTACTGCCCATCAGCTTCTTTGGATGCCCCTGAGTTCTAGTATTTTGAGAGAGGGAGAAAAAGTTATCTTTGTCAACTCTTTCCACCCTGTGCATAATTTTATAAACCTCTACAAGTCAGTGTTCCATACTCAGTTAAACCAGTAATGCATAGAAGGTGGATCAGGTTTTTTCCAGCCTGCAGCAGTGGTCCTTTGGGCAGCTGTGAAACCATTTAGCACTATTTCCATTAGCCCACATGACTGTGAAGATACTCACTGTGGGTGGCCAGTGACTGCCAGTAGTTGGGTGTGTTGCTTTGAGGGCCAGTTACCTGTGTCCTTACTCCTCCTTGTAACTACCCAAACCAAATTAAATTATGCAAAACAGTAAACCCAGTAGAACGAATTAGCAAAATAGGAGAAATTGTGCACATTTGTATCATACGTATAGGTTCCCAAATTCAGCTTTTCTTGACAGTGATGGTGCTAAAATTTTGATCCCACTGAACAACTCAGTTGAGTCTCGCCACGTTCCCACCAACAAATTTGTTTTGCAAATAAATGGACTGTGGCATTTTGCTCAAAGGACTGAGAAAAATATTGCTTCGTGCTCCAGTCACTGGTTTACCTGAGCACAGCAGAGAAGCTTGCTGGCGCATGTTCATGCATTCTGCAGGCAGCTTACACAATTCCCTGCCGCAGGATGTAGTGACAACCACTAGTTCAGCTGTCTTTAGAAAAGGGTTAGACAGCTTGATGAAGATTTGAATAGGTCCATCATGTGTCATGATAACTGAATAGAAATCTGTGTTCAAAAGCAATGCACCACTGTGAAAACCAGACGCTGAGGACAGATAGCAGGCCAGGGATGGACGTATTGTCTTCATGTCCTGCTTGGAGGGATTTGGAAGCAACTGGCTGGCCATTTCTACCAGTGGAATACCGCGTCAGATAAACTTTCATTCTGATCCAGCAAGATTCCTCATGTTCTCAAGCAGTCTGCTGGCGTGTAGAGTGTCCCCAGTCCTGGTCCAATAAGCAGAATCTCCTTATGTCATGCAAGTAGCATCATTGATCTGGCAATCTTGCCTGAGAGAGAATTAGTAGGAAGAGGAGGCTTGTGTTCAATCAGTACCGAGATAGTTGAGCACAGGGATAAGCTGAAATATGTACACTTATTGGCTGAGTTTCCTCTGTATCTTTCAGCATCTAAACCTGCCTTATACCGAGCCAAACTAAAAGTGACAATGGCCACGGGTCCATCCTGTGGCTGCCAGTGACATTTTAGAAGCAGTTGTAGATCTTTCAAAATTGCTGCAAGGCCCTGGGCCAAGGAGGAGGAGGAGATGATTATTGGATTTATACCCCGCCCTTCACTCAGAGTCTCAGAGCGGCTTACAATCTCCTTCCCTTCCTCTCCCCACAACAGACATCCTGTGTGGTAGGTGGGGCTGAGAGAGTTGTGGGAGAACTGCTCTTGAGAGAACAGCTCTGAGAGAACTGTGGCTTTCCCAAGGTCAATGAGCAGCTGCATATGGAGGAGAAGGGAATCAAACTCGGTTCTCCCAGATTAGAGCTCGTGCTCCTAACCACTACACCAAAATGGCTAACTACTACACCAAACGAATCGAGTGCATGGTGCAGTGGCCCCAGGAGCTCTTGCCCCCCCCCCAACACTGTGGGGTGGCCGTACAGCATGCCTGATCCAGATTGCAACAATTTTTAAAGAACTGGTATGTCCCCCAAAGAACACTGCACTCTATGGACAATAACTTCCTGGTGGTCCCCAACCCAAAAAACATCCACCTAGCCTCAACCCAGGCCAGAGCCTTTTTGGCTTTGGCCCTGGCCTGGTGGAATGCTCTTCCAGATGAGATCTGGGCCCTGTGGGATTCGATGTAGTTCTGCAGGGCCTGTAAGACAGGATTGTTTCACCAGGCCCACAGTTGAGGCAGCAAAGCTTCCCATCTCAATCAGCCTCCCCCAGCTCCTCCCTCCTCCACCATTCATTCATTCTGTTATCACACCAACCTCACGTTGGATAATCTGTGACATCTGATTTATTCTAATTTATTACTTTGGTAATTGTTTTTAAGAACTAACCTATGGTATTGTTTTAATTTTGGTGTTACACGGCCTGAGCCTTGCTGCCCAGGGGAGGGCGGGCTATAAGTCTAATAAAAATAAACAAACTACAGCTCCTTCTAAAATGGTGTCAGCAGCCACAGGATGAACCCATGGCTGCCATCACGTTTAGCTTGGCTCACTGTGTTAGGACATTTATCCACCTAGCTTAGCGTGACTGACAATGGCTTTCCAGGGAACC